AACAATTATGAAAAACAGTGAACTTCGCAAATCCTTAACAAAATTTAGACTTGGCAACCACTGTCTGAAAATTGAAACAGGCCGGCATACAGGATTGGATTTTAAAGACAGAGTCTGCAATATGTGCGACAATGACCATGTTGAAGATGAACAACATTTTGTCACAAATTGTCCTCATTACAATGAAATAAGATCAAAACTTTACATTGTAGCTAATAAACGTATACCAAATTTTGACAAATTTAGTAATGAAAATAAATTCATATCATTACTAAGTGACGAGAAAATGTCAATTCCTTTAGCGCAATATTTAAAAAACTGTTTTAATACAAGACAGCAGCACCTACATAAACTAAGCCAGTAATACATTCCTTGTATTCAACTTATTATCTTTTTTTTTTTTTTATGCCTTTTTGTTCCCTTACTCTTTATGTGGTTATTTTTCTTTTACTAATATCTGATTTGTAACCCTTTTCATCCCCTCCGAGGGATGTTGTGTGTTAATAAATAAATAAATAAATAAAATAAAAGTACATGTATTTCTATGGGCCCTGTGCGCGCTACTGTGGAACGCCAGTCGAGCCGGTGAAAATTCGAGAAAACCACACAAACTCAACTTTGAAGTAATCCCAAACAACCAAATTTATATATGTTGCACACGTAGGGCTAATCTTGTTACACTGTTCAGAAGAGTCTCAACAATCATTCCAAAGTACCGTTTTCTGCGAGTTTTTGGCCTTTGTTTTCACCGCCGCGGGTTGCCAGGCGTGAAAATGCCCGGATGTCCGCCCCTGAGGATACGTTAAACCACAGTCCCTCATTCAGTCCTGTTGAGGGACTGTAGTTAAACCAACGATGTAGCGGAAACATGCTTTGGCAGGGGATAATACGATGAAAGAGTTTTTTTTTTTATCGTAATTTCCACGTGTATTTGATACTGGTAGTTTCGGATGATGGTTCCGTGATCATCATTTGAAGAATATCAATTCGAAAACCGATTCGATTTTATATTTGCAAACACACTTTTTAGTGACATGGTTTCACAACGCTTTAGTTTTGTTTGTAAATCTTGAGCTATTATAGCTGTCTGTTTAGATTGTGGATTGCATAAAAGTCCGGTATTGTCTTATTTTTATTCTCATCTGTCATACTACCTAACCCCCCACCCCCACCCCCGCCACTCGAACCATTGTCAAGTGGCAGTGTGGCAAATTGTTGTTTTCACATCGAGTCAGAATGCATTTCAGTTCAGCTTAGTTCTGAGTGTGTTTGTCGTTTACAAGCTGACGTCAGACTAAGGTCAAACAAGGTCAAATGAGTACTCGGACTCGTAACTCGAGTTGTGCCCTTGGTTTTATTCGCTGGGGTGTTTCTATTTCGTACGCATGCACTTCTAATAGTTACTCGCAAAATTATAAATTTCGGCAAGTATTTCGTTATTTTAAAATATAATGTAGTTAATTCTGTTCATAATTCCAAGTGTACAACGTACCCCCCTCTTCCCAAGACGATAAATACTTGATCCGTCCCTGAATAGTGCATTATGGGAATGTGTTACATCCAAAATGGCTGCCTCCATAGATACATTGGCTTTGTATTTATCATAAAAGTGTAATTCTGAACTTGCTGTGATATTAAACTGGTTTATTTGATCATCGTAACCGATGCCGATGGACATAAGGTAAATTTTCTTTTATTATGATGATGTTTTTTTCTTTCACTGTCGTTTAGAACAGACATTTTGTTGTGACCGGCGAAGACCGGAAGATTTTATTCACTCGGAATGCCAATAACAGTGAACCACGTTGGGAGATAAAACAAAACGAAGTCAAACTGATTTCAATTTCAAAGGATAAATTTGACTGTTGTATTCCCTCTACTATATTGAGTTGATCGTTGCCGTTGACCTTGATTGTCATATGTATTCAGGCCTTTTTGTAGGGTTTTAATCGGAGTGTACATATTGATCAACATCGATCTAAATACATTGTTGATATTTTTTTCTTCAAAATTTCAATTCAAGAAAAAAGCTATGAGAATAACATGTAAATTTATAAGTTTCACCATTTTCATATACGTGAAAAATATGAGGAAGGTTGGTGATGTTTTGAAATGTGAAAAATAGTGGTTAATAATAATAATATTGCATCCTTAGAAATACAATGTATCTATCAGTTAATAGTAATGAAGATTAGTTGTGATAATGCTCAAGTCAATGTCAACCCTCACCCTCCCCACCTCGGAGTTTAGTGGGGGATTTGGAAATTATTGTTGTAAAATTTGCAAAATGCCCCACCTCCTGGGGCAAGATGGATAGGCAAATCCCCACCCAAAACAAACCCCCCACATTTCTCCCACCGATCGCCACTGTCGGCCATGCTTGCTATCAGCAGAGTACTGGCGATGCTGGCGATGACGGGACACGAAACACAGCTATTACCCCACCTCAACAGGCACAGTTTGGCGGTAAACCCTGTCTAATGCCCCACATTTGTCCCGTATCGCCCGAGGTGGGAGGGGTCGGGGTTGACATTGACTGGAGCATAACTACTACTACAAAAAGAAAGTTTAGTTTGTTAATGGGATAAAGTGCTACATATCAAATGGCATTTTCATTGCTTTATTAAAATGCGTTATGAGTATAGTTGCCAATCGTTTTTATTATTACAGCATCTTTTGAAGTCATCAAGAAATTATGGGTTATGTAGCCAAAAAAGATGCATCATATTACATGCGCTGGGTGAAACAATTGATGAATTCTAGTTGTATCGACCTCTATCAAATTCAACTTTTTGTTCTTTCTTGATGTCATGAACAACACATATTTTGTTTTGTTGTTTGATTCAGATTGTCCAACTAGTTCATGTGTGGATTATACAACTTTGTACAATATAAGAATGATTTTTCTTCTAGGAAATGTCACTTGCTTTGACTGAACAAAATTTGTATAAGTTGCTATTTGAAGTGAACTAACACTGTATTTTTAACATGCTGAATACTTCACCAACATTTAATTTTAATCTATCTACATTTTTTGTATACATCTATCATTGTTTATTTTATTACTCCTCTTTCAGATATACCTTGTATATGAACTCAGGCTGCTGAGACTCGCGTGCGATGTTCAAATCTCGTGGAAATGTAAATACTGCCAGATACAGTCGCACTAACAGATCAATGACAAAGCCGAAAGTCCGTCCGGAGGAGTCGGCCACCATGTCAAAAGAAGATAGTCACACCGGACTCCCTGCCAGTCACACAGGTTATGACTTGATCGAGTTCATTGGCAGACTGGTTCTCAATGTCTTGTTAAGATTTTGGAGGCTATGCAGCGCAGCATTACTTATGCTGTTTTTATTTTATTGGCAGTTTGGAGGTGTGATGGTGTTTTTGCTCTTATGCTCTGCATTGTTTGGTAAGTATATGCTATGTACTTATAAGTTGTGTGCTATGTGCAAATGAAGTTTTCTCATTTAATGTTGCTTTAACATTTAGTAATTACATTAAAGGGGAACCGCTCAATCCCATGGATTGCACCAAAGAATCATGGGACACTATTGTTTATGTTGTTTACAAAGTTAATCTATCTTTTGTTATCCATTGTAATTTAAATCCAGAAAGTAAATTTGTTGTGAGATTAGACTTAACTGGTAGTGCCCCTTTAAGTAGATATAGTTCAAAATCAAAATTTCTTGTATGATTTTCACCTGTTTCACATACTGGTACTTTTTGTAATATTCTTTGATTTCTTTCTTTGGACTGTTTGCACAACACTGTTTTTAACTCCAATGTCAACTTTATCAAGTGAAGTTTATCATATTACTGATGATTGGTTGTCTTGCCCGACAAATTTTTACGTTTTTGACTTCTCCCTGAAAACCCTGAGTCTGATTGATTTGATACTTTTTTTTTTTGTCATGGAAAAAAATATTTTTGACTTTTTCTCAAAAACTTCTAGTCAAATTGCTCTATTTTATATATAGCTACGAAATGTACCTCATCTGGACTTATCTCAGATTTGTTCCTCAACCTTTCCTGGCACCAATTAATTGATGAATGAACTCATGCATCATTTATTGACTCTCTCACAGGTCTTATGTACAACCAGCAAGATGCCCTTTTATACTATCCAGACCAACCAGAATCTTCCAGAATATATGTGATGTCTCCACATCACTTTGGAGTGCCTTATGAAAATATATTTTTTAAGACCCGTGACGGTGTTCGTATAAATGGCATTCTGCTAAAGCAGCGGCCTGAAAACGTGACAAGAGTACCGACGATAGTGATGTTTCACGGGAATGCCGGCAATATTGGGCACAGGTACATTTGTAAAATACAGTGTTGTTGTCTTTCACTGTGAATTTAACCTTTTCACCACCAGATTTTCCCTCCCAAGTTTTTCTGCACTTTTTTTCTTATAATCTCCAATATTTCTGGAAATGAACCCTCAGTTTGGAAGCAACAGACAAAATTTGAGTCAATGTTCAGTTTTCACTCAAAAAATTTGACTATTTTTGTCCAAATCTCTGGAAGGAAATGGCAGACTGCAAACATGATTATTTTGTGAACTTGTGATGAAAAGAGGGAACTGGTGGTGAATAGGTTAAGGACGTACATTCAGGTTCTGCATTCATTGACTAATACAATCGTCAACTTTTTACTTTTTCAACTTCTTTTTGAAAACTACAAGCCTAATTACTTTAATATTTGGCGTATATGTATTTCATAATGTTGTTTATATATCAATTTTGCACAAAAAAAAGTGAATTGGCTCACTTTAAAGAACAGAAGATATCATTAGAAAATGAACAGTATTATAATTCAACAAGCAGCCTCTCAGCTGAGATAGCTCCGCTGTTAGCAATGCACATTTCAATTAAAGAACAGAAGATATCATTAGAAAATTAACAATGTGCATAGTATCAATGCAATGGGACTTGCTGTTTTCAACAAGAATTCAAAAATATCATTTTTCACCATAAATGATTGTGGTTTTTAACAAGAAGAAAATATCACTTTTTACCAAAAATGATAAAAATATTCATCAAAATTAGAGAATTGAAGATATCATCATGAAATGAACAAATTTGAGAGTGGTCCACATGTAGTACCTATATATGTAATATCAAAGTAATTGGACTTGTCGTTTTTAACAAGAAGTCAAAAATATCAGTTTTTACCAAAAATGACAAAAATATTCACCAAAATTAGAAAATTGAAGATATGATCATGAAATGAACAAATCTGAGAAAGGTCTACCCAAGGTACATATACACCAAGTATCAAAGCATTCAGGCTTGTAGTTTTCAAGAAGAAGTCGAAAAAGTAAAACATTGACACGGACGACGGACACCGGACGACGGACGACAGACGACGGACGACGGACGACGACGGACAATCACTCATATGATAAGCTCCGCTCGACAAAGTCGACAGCGGAGCTAAAAATATCACTTTTCACCAAAAATGACAAAAATATTCACCAAAATTGAAGATATCATCATGAAATGAACAAATCTAAGAGAGGTCTACCTACTTTCTAATTGGGTCAAACTTTTTAATATAGTTAATCTGTATGCATAAATGACCTTCCCCACCCTATGCTATGACCTTCCCCACCCTATGCTATGACCTTCCCCACCCTATGCTATGATCTGCCTACCCTATGCAGTGATCTTCCCCACCCTTTGTAGTTTATCTTCCCATCTTTTGCTGTGATCTGCCCTACATATTTAATGATATCCCCACCCTATGAAGTGATATTCATTCCCTGTGCTATGATCTTCCTACCCTATGCAGTGATCTTCCCTCCCCTTTGTAGTGTATCTTCCCATCTTTTGCTGTGATCTGCCCCACATATTTAATGATATCCCCACCCTATGAAGTGAT